ACACACACACACACACACACACACACACAATGTTAAAATAAAAAAAAAAGGAACAGACTATATCAGAACTAGACAGCTACTGCCACTTCAGACTTTAACATTTAATATTTATTTTGCATTTATTTTGCACGTATTGAGAATCTGTGCACCAAAAGTACATCACCTCAGGCTAAAAAAGTAATAAACAATTCACATTAGAAACAGGTCCTTCAGTAATACTAAGAAATCAAAAAGACTGAGTTAGATATCCGATGAACCCCAGGCCCTGTGAGTGTGGGGAAGCGCTTCTGCTCTGTCCTGCGCCTGCCCGCTGCTCCAAGCTGTTTGAGAGAGGCCTTTCCCATGTTCTAATATCTCCCCCGCCCGGCCAGACCCAGCACAGCCCACCCTCTGAGTGAGAACTTCGGCTCCTTTCTGGGGAGTCCTCCAGACCAACCAAAACACAACATAGTGCAATGAAACTGGAAATAAACAACAAAAGAAACCAGAAAAACCCACTAAATACATGAAAATTAAACAACACCCTACTCAGCAATGAATGGGTTAGAGATGAAATTAAACAAGAAATTCAACAATATCTACAATTCAATGAAAATTCATCCACAACTTATTGGAATTTATGGGATGCCACGAAAGCAGTTCTCAGAGGGAAATTCACAGCTGTGAACTCACACATTAGGAAAACAGAATGGGAACAAATAAACACCCTAATGCTGCACCTCCGACATCTAGAAAAGGAAGAGCAAACCAAATCCAGAGCCCAAAGACGGGAAAAAATCATAAAGATTAGAGCAGAAATTAGTTCAATTGAGATGAAGAAAACAGTTCAAAGAATTAACAAATCAAAAAGCTGGTTCTTTGAAAGATTAAATAAAATTGATAAACCCCTAGCCAACCTCATCAAAAAGAGGAAAGAAAAATTTCAAATACAAGCAATAAAGAATGAAAAGGGTGTAACTACTACAGACCCAGTGGAAATTCAGAAGATTATCAACAGTTACTTTGAGAATCTTTAAAGCTCACAGAATAGAAGCCACAGATGAAATGGACAGATTTCTAGATGGGTACAAATTACCAAAACTGAATCAAGAAGATATAACAACTCTCAATAAGCCAATAACAGCCATTGAAATACAGAATGTAATAAAGAGCCTGCCGACAAAGAAAAGTCCAGGTCCTGATGGATTCACAGCTGAAT